GGCCATCATCGAGTACATGCCGCTGCTGGCCGGCCAGCTGGTGAGACTGGGAGCCACTGGGATATACTGGGAGGGACTGGGAGGGGACTGGGAGGCACTGGGAGGGAGCTGGAGCTGTGTACGGGGCACTGGGATGGACTGGGATATACTGGGAGGAGGTTCTGGTCCGTCCGCCTGGCCATCATCGAGTACACGCCGCTGCTGGCCGGCCAGCTGGTGAGACTGGGAGGCACTGGGATATACTGGGAGGGGACTGGGATATACTGGGAAGGACTGGGAGGGAGCTGGAGCTGTGTACAGGGCACTGGGATATACTGGGATATACTGGGATATACTGGGAGGAGGTTCTGGTGTGTCCGCCTGGCCATCATCGAGTGCATGCCGCTGCTGGCCGGCCAGCTGGTGAGACTGGGAGGCACTGGGATATACTGGGAGGCACTGGGAAGGGACTGGGAGGGAGCTGGAGCTGTGTACGGGGCACTGGGATATACTGGGAGGCACTGGGAGGGAGCTGGAGCTGTGTATGGGGCACTGGGATATACTGGGAGGGACTGGGAAGGGACTGGGATATACTGGGAGGGATTGGGATATACTGGGAGGGATTGGGAAGGCATTGGGATATACTGGGAAGGGACTGGGATATACTGGGAGGGACTGGGATATACTGGGAGGCACTGGGAGGGAGCTGGAGCTGTGTACGGGGCACTGGGATGGACTGGGATATACTGGGAGGGAGTTGGGAGGGACTGGGGGGAACTGGGAGGGACTGGGATGAACTGGGAGTGGACTGGGTTATACTGGGATGGACTGGGATATACTGGGAGTCACTGGGTTATACTGGGATGGACTGGGAGGAGTTTGTTCGTACTGGTTTATACCGGTTCTTACTGGTTTACGTGGGTGAGTAGTGGTTTATACTGGTTTATACTGGTATATAATGGTTTATATTGGTGTTTCCTGGTTTCTGTGGGTGTGTACTGGTTTGTACTGGTTTATACTGGTCCTTACTGGGGTCTGCCCCTCCTCAGGGCGTGGAGTTCTTCGATGAGAAGCTGAACTCGCTCTGCATGGCCTGGCTGGTGGATCACGGTACTGGGAGGGACTGGGAGGAACTGGGA